GGGGTGACGACGGCGGCAACGTACCCCGTCCTGGCCTGAGCGCGGACACTGTGTGCAGGGCCTCTTCCCCCAGCCTTGCCCGAGAGACCAGCTAGCCCTGGGGAGAGAGACCCACTTAGCTGCCTCTGGCTGAGTTCCCAGTAGACTCCAGTTACGTGAACCGGTTGGAAGCCTGACAGCAACTCTCTGGCTGGGGCAGGTCACTCCCGGAGTGTTGCTTTAATACCCACCACAACGGGGCTGGTTCCGACAAGGCCCTGTGAGATGCTGGGTGGTCTCCAAGCTGAGGGGCCCCCTGCACCTTGCACCACCTCAGAACAGAAGCGCCGCAAGGCGAGGGCCATGCTGATGTGTCTACGCATCACGCACACCTGCCACTGTCACCGTGCTTATAGCGTGTCAAGCAGTGAGTGGGGGGGTGGGGGGCAGAGGGAGAGCTAGGCACGGCCGCTGCTGAGTGATGAGTATAGAAGCCTGCACAGCGAGGGTCTCTGCTACACTGCACAGCAGAAGGCTGCTGATTGTATGGAGAGCGCCAGGACAATAAACTCTAGGGGAGAAGTTTGCCGTGTCTGTGTGTTTGGGGGTGGGGGGGAGCAGGGTTTGGCTGGGCCTTGCCCTCGCTGCTGCCCGACACTGCCCCAGGGAATGGAGCAGGGCACCCCTCCTGCGGGGGGGCAGTCCCAAGGCAGGACACGTAGCGCCTCTCAAACTCAGCATTCCTACAACCCTGCGGGAGCCTGGCCGTGGGAGGGGCGAGGGGAAAGGCCTGGCAGCGCTGGGCTCCTCAAACCAATGCTACCCTCGCCCCAGGCTCATCCAGCCCGGCTCTTGCTACCAGCCAGACTCACTCCGCGGGGAGGGGTCGCTCTAGTTCAGTGGAGAGTCCGAACCGCTGCACGCTCCAGGCTGGCATGAGGCAGGAGAGCTCCAGTGCCAGCAGCGGAGCTGTCCGGGTTCCCTCCCCACTCTGAACTCTGGGGTACAGATGTGGGGACCTGCATGAAAGACCCCCTAAGCTTATAGTTCACCAGCTTAGGTTAAAAACTTTCCCAAGGCACAAATTCCTTGCCCTGGAATGGAATCGCTGCCACCACCAAGTGAGGTAGACAAAGATTCAGGAAAAGGACCACTTGGAGTTCCTGTTTCCCCAAAATGTCCCCCTAAGTCCCTTCACCCCCTTTCCTGGGGAGGCTGGAGAATAATAAACCAACTAAATAGGTAACCAAGGTGAGCACAGACCAGACCCTTGGGTTTTTAGGACACTAAAAACCCAATCAGATTCTTGAAAACAGAACTTTATAATAAAGAAAAAAGTAAAAGAAGCACCTCTGTAAAATCAGGATGGAAGGTAATTTTACAGTGTAATAAGATTTAAAACACAGAGGGTTTCCCTCTAGGCAAAACTTTAATGTTACAAAAAAATAGGAATAAACCTCCCTCTTAGCACAGGGAAAATTCACAAGCTAAAACAAAAGATAATCTAACATATTTCCTTGCTATTACTTGCTATTTCTGTAATGTTAGCTGTATCATTTCAGTGGGAGCCGGATTACTTGCTTGATCTCTCTCTCTATCTCAGAGAGAACAACAATACAGAGCACAAAGCAAAAACCTTCCCCCACAGATTTGAAAGTATCTTCTTCCCTTATTGGTCCTTTCGGTTGGTCGGGTGCCAACCAGGTTATTTGAGCTTCTTAACCCTTTACAGGTAAAGGAGGGATTTTAGGCTACCCTTAGCTGTATGTTCATGACAGGAGCTATGCCAGTTTATACCCACTGAGGTTCGGTCCCTGTGCCACAGGGTTCACTCACCCGTGGGGCGCCTCCTTGTGGCTGCGTCTGGGGATTAGCTCCACTCCAGTCTGAGGCCCCCTTCTTCGCACCGTGCCCCCCGCCCCCAGAAGCCAGGGTGCTCCCTCTTCGTGGTTCAGCCCTCTGGCCAGGTCACTATCATCCTCCCCTTCCACGATACCAAAGTCCCCCTGATCAGCTGTCCTCACGCCACTCCAGATAGTCTGGTGGGGGAACTTGGGCCAACCCATTGCTCTGGGTCCAGACCCTATGTCTGCTTGCTCCCAGACCCTGTTGCCACCTATCAGGTTAATTGTGCTAACAACCTGTTCTGCCTTGGGTGGGGTGGGCCTGCCATCACCCCCTGGGTATAGGCACTGCCTCACTCGGGGTTCTCCTTCCCTCCAGGGAACCCCTTGGACACAGTCTGGAGGGACACCTGCATCCAGGGGTGAAATGGCCAGTGGGGGGCTGGACAGACACTGTCTGTGATTTTGGGTTCAAGGAAACTTTCCAGAGTTAAGAGGACTTCCTGCGCTGGGGCTGAAGGAGAAAGCTGGGTGGATCAGGTGTCCTCAACAATAGTGCAAGCAAAGAGCAACGCTCCCAGGAACGCACCGGCAGAGCAGGTACAGCCCGGGTTCACCTTAAGGAAATCCCACCAGTTATCAATCCAAGGTGCGACAGAATAAACGTCACCAGAACATTCCGGTTCTACCAACACTACTCCCGCCCCGGCTCTACCTGCCCCGGGGTCTGGTGTGTGGCGCCACTGGTGTGATGAACATCACCCAAACCTCAGCCCACCAGCGGCTGGCTTATACCTGATCTGGGACTGACCAGAACTTTGCATCCAGCTCCCATAACAAGCACTGCAGCCAACCTCTCCCAAAAGGGAAGAAAAACAATTCCCCTTCCAGTCTCCACTGGCCTGCCCTGGCTCAGGACATGTAGATTTCTGTTTGCTCCCAGCAGCTGAACTTTGCCCCACTCCTACTTTGCCTGGCAGCATTGCTGACATATTTCCAGTAACAAAGGAACAGTGTGAGCACAGGCTGTAGCGGTCTGTGACGGGAGCGAGAAAACCAGCGAGCTGCAGCGAGGAGTCCACCCCAGAGCCCCCCACCCCCCCGTCCCCAAAATGCCCTGACTGATGTTAAGGCTGGTGCATAGACAGGTGAGCAAAACAAAAGGCAGCCAGGCTGTGGGCCAATTGCTGCTGCTCTTGGAAAAACAGAGAAATTCAATGTTTGTTCAGTGGGAACTGACTGTCAGGAATCCTCCCCCAGCCCAGCGGTGCAGGGGTGTTGCAATCAGTGGAGTAAAATGAGAACAAAACAGCAAGAGGCACCTAGAAGGAGGAAGTGGGGAGTGCATGGGGTTTTCTCAGTGCATCAGTGGGCAGTTCACAGCTTAGCACCAGTGACAGCTGTTGTATATTGGTAACGGGACAGGCTCGAGTAGACGCTTGTGCCTCAGACTCCTGGGTTCTACTCCCGCCTCTGCCACTGACTCATGCCAGGACTCAGCGTAAACCACATCAGCACCCCAGGCCTCAGTTTACCCATCTGTAAATTGGAGCTTACCGCTGATGAGATTTCTCAGGCTTGGTTAATGTTCCCAGTGGGGCTCTCTGGCTGGAGCAGTAGATATTGTGCTGGCTTGGAGGAGAAGTAGCTGCAGCGGGACCCAGCTGCGTTTAATTTCAGACCCTCCAGCAGGGCGTGAAGGGGCAGCAGGGGGAGTTTGATCCCTGTGGGGGGCGGTGATGCTTTTCCCAGGCCAGAAGCCGCTTTGAGACGCACTTTCATTTTCTTCGGAGAGGCTGCTTGTGAACAGGCGCCCTCGAGTCACTGTCGCTTTCCCTGGACCGAAAGCGAACAGGCCCAGCTGACCGTTTGCCTCAGCCGCAGGTGAGCCCTGGGGAGAAGGGCAGTTCTACCATGGCGACTAGACAAGCTTCTCCTACCCTCTCTGACACCTCGAGGAAGGGGACGGCACTGTAACCTTGGAAGGAAGCTGCCCCTGTGGGCCTGATTCTGATCCCCCTTGCATGGGCTTTGCACCGGGGTCATTCCAGGGACTTTAATGGAGCGGCTCATGATTTACGCTGCTGGGACCAAGAGCAAGATCAAAGCCTGCTCCCCTGCGGCCCCAGAAGGGGCTGCTGCCTCGGTTGTGCCAGAGGGCAGCTAAAGACCCCTCCGCACTGTGAGCGAAGGCACCCCCACACCCGATTCCCCACCAACTGGCTGGTACCAGTTCCTCCCCGGCGGCTCCTCCTCTCCACTCCCTCTGTTCCGGAAACTCAGTCCTGGTCCAGCATCAATAACACCCCGACCCCCCCAGCGCAGCAGAACTCCGCAGGGAGGGGAATTATCCCTGAAGCTGAAGGGCTCCTTACCCTCCCGCCGCTATCACTGGAGAGCTGTGAACCCGAAGCCACGTCCCTTCAGGCTGGGAGCTCGGCTGAGTGTTTGTACAGCTCCTAGCGCATTCCTGGTGGGTCCATAGGCGCCGCCTCAATAAACACATAACCTCGCCAAAGCCAAGCAGGGGCAGGCTGTGTCAGCGCTTGACCAGACTTCGAGGAAACCCAGGTGCTGCAAGCAGGGTGGGGTTAGCGGGGTTGTGGTTGCTGCTCTTCCCTTTGCCTCGATGCTGAGCCAGTCCCCTGGGGTCCTGGATCTGCGTGGTCGTTCCAGGTCCCATGGCACTTTCTGCAGGGATAGGGGTGTTAACCCTGGTGTTCTGACCCATTTCCAGTTTGCTCCCCTAAAATATTCCTTGGCCATGAGATTTCCTTCACTTCCTGTCCTAAACTGCGCTGTTGATTGTTCTGCGCTGTTAAACAGCCACCACGTTCCACCCCAGAGGTGGCTGCATGAAGGGACACCTGTCTATGTGGTTTGCCAAGGCCAAGGTTGTAGTGAAGGTTCTTTACAAGTTCCAGATGTTAGATAGACAGATGCTGTCCTTGGGAATGAAAGGCACCATAGAAATGTAATACTAACACACACACACACCCTGCCCCCGCGAACCGTCCTTTTCACAGCAGCGTTGGGGGGGGGGGAGGAAAGCATGTGTTACCCATTTCGCAAATGGGGAAAGAGACACGCCCAAGGCCTCTGAGTGGGTCAGTGGCAGAGCCAAGATTAGCATTCAGGTGTTCTGGGGCACTCAGTCCTGACCTCATTCCCCCGAGCCAGGCTGCCTTTCAAACAGGAATGAACTTACCAGCCACCAGAATGAAGCCAACTCTGGGGTGGAGCGCAGCAGCTGTTTAACAGCGTGATCAATGCCACATCATAGCTCAGGACAGGAAGTTCAGAAGAACCCCCCGGCTGCCTGAAGCAGCAGAGGGGATTTAGTTGGGCCGAAAGTGCAAACAGAGGATGACTGACAGCGAGATATCGCATTCCGCCATATCCGTAGCTAGCGGGAACCTCTGAGCCCAACTCTTGCGCCACACGCTCATTGAGAAAGGCTGGCCCCCCAGCAGAACAGGCATTACACAATACGGGTGTTTGGCTGCCGGGAAAGTCAGCAGGGTATAAGAGGCAGATCAGTCAGGCAGCCCGAGGGGTAACGGCGTGGGGGCAGCAGGGCAAGATGAAGTCTTCCACGGGCCTTCTCCTCGCCCTGGCATTCCTGATGGCTGCTACTGGCCCTAGAGCAGGCCTTGCCCAGGAGACAGAGTCCAGCTGCTGTGCACGTGAGTAGCTGAATCCAGGGCAGAGCTGAGAGCTCCCATTGAAGTCAGCAGGGGTTGGGGGTACTCGGCACCCTTGGGGATCCCTTTGTGGCGTTTTGTTCTACAAACTAGGGGCCAAACGCAGTCCGACGCTCATGGGCTCCAGCAGGGAGCGGGCTCTGAAGAGGAGCCGCAGCGGGACATTGCCGGGGCAGCCGCATCTCTGAGGAGCTCCCCGCCGGACAGGCAGGATGCTCCCTGTCACAGAGTGTGGGGGAGTCAGGGCCTTGCACCCCCAGTTCCCGCGATTCACCGGGACTCTCAGCCAGCCAGTAAAGCGGAAGGTTTATTAGACGACAGGAACACAGTCCCAAATAGAGCTTGTAGGTACAACCAGGACCCTTCAATCAAGTCCCCAGAGGGGGTGGGGAGCTTATCCCTCAGCTTTGGGGTTCCCTCCATTTCCCCAGCCAGCTCCAAACTAAAACCTCTCCAGCAGTCTCCTCCAGCCACCTCCCCCAGCCAAGGCCGCCGAGAGCGGGTTCGGGCCCTGGTGAAAAATTTTTTTGGGCCCCCCAGCAAGGGTGGACCGGCTAAATAGGGCTGACAAGGGGGGGGAAGCCAGGCCCAGAATTTTTTCGGGCCCCCCAGCAAGGGCGGGCCGAATGGGGGGGGAAGCCAGGCCCCCTTCTGGACTGCCGGGCCTCAGTAATTTGTACCGGCTTCCCCCCACCTCTCGTCGGCCCTGCCGGCAGCCCTCGTCCAGCTTCCCGGGCCAAAGGTGTCACCTGGCCCCAACCCCCATCCTGGGCTCAGGTTACACGCTCAGATAGCCTCACCCTGGTATCCCAGCCCCACTGCAGACAGTCTCAATACAACTCCCACACAACATTCCCAGGTCAGTCTGCCCCACTCCCCGCCCCTGAAAGGCAAGGCAAAGCCCCTTGGAGTCCATGGAAAGGACCTGACCGGAGAGGGGTTTGGATCAGAATAATGGTAAGGAGGTGGGGAGACACCCACAGCCCCATGGGTGGGGGAAGGTGGGGAAGAGACACCCACACCCCCAGGGATTTGTTTAAGCAATCCCACCTGTAGCTGGAGCAGAGGTTCATGCATGGCTGGGTTTAGCCGTGCTCAACTCCGCGTCAGGCTGTCAGCCTCCCCCAGCCGGCAACTAACACCGTGGGCTGGGCTCCCTATTGCTGGTGCGGAGAAGCTAGGAGACCCTGAGGAATGAGCTCTGTCTGGGGAGCGCATAGACACTGCCCAGGAAGTCACTCCTTGGAGCCATGCGTGGGGGATGTTTTGCACTTGAGAGCAAGGAACTGAGGAGTGAATCCAGAGGTTGTCCCCCGTCTAGAGAGGATCAGCTGTGGTCTAACAGGCAGAGGATGAAGCAGGGCATCAGGACCATTCCAGCTCTAGCCTCTGACTGTGTGGCCCTGGACAAGTCACTGAATCATTCTGTGCCTCAGTTTCCCCATCTGCCAAACATGGCTAATGTTACTTCTCTCCCTGAAGTCAGACACCAGCCTCATCCTTTCTCCCTCCTCCTCAACACTTGCCCATCCCCACCACCACACAGATCCAAGGAGCACAGGTACGTTGATCGTGTAACCAGGTGACAGCACTCCAGCCATGTTTGTCCTGCCTCTCCCTCCCTCCCCCCCCCCCTTAGTCTGGTTAGGCCCCTCACCTGTTCTATACTCTTAAATCTTGCTTGGGAACCTGCTGGGGCATGGAAAGTCTCATTACTCGGTTGGAGAGGTGCCTAGAACGTCTTTGGGGGCTCAGAAAATAGCCAGCGACGTGGTGATGAGCCCATCCCCACCTTCCAGCGAGCTCCAGCTCTCTCCCCTCCCCCAATACAGGTTTTAATTATTACTTTAAACGTCCCAACATTTAAAATGGGCAGATTGTCTCCCGAGTTGGGAGATGGGTCGGCGCTCACAGGCAGGGATTGATCCCCAGCTGAAATCTGACACAGGGCCCCACCCCTCCCCTGCTTCTCAACACTACTGTCCATATCAGGTGAGCAGGGGGATATCTAGGGGTGAAAGAACAGGCTAGGAGTCAGGAGAACTAGGATCGATTCCTGGCTCCACCGCCCGTTTGCTGTGTCATCTGGTGCCAGGCACTTAGCCTCCGTGTGCCTCAGTTTCCCCAATCTGCACCCTGGGGATTCAGGTTTAATTTATCCACATTTGCCAAGTGCTTTGTGAGCCTCCAGTGGGGGGATGTTTAATTCTAGTCTTACTGGGGTGGGGAGGGAGAGGGAATCTCACCCTTGGCCTCCTGATCAAGTTGCTTCCTTCCAGTCACCATGGCCAACTACACCCCTAAGCCAACGAGGGCAGAGGTCTGGGCAGACTTCCCAGCCCTGATTGTTCAGGTTGGTCCTTCACGCTTCCTGCCAAATCCCAGTGTCACATACTCCTTGTACATGGGAGGCCGCAGGGCTGCTGCTAGCAGGTCAGGCTGCTATGATATGGACAGGCAGCGAGCTACAGAGAGACAAGAGATGTGTTCCCTGTAAGATACTTGACTACGCGCCCAGGTCTGCCTGGTACCAGCCCAGGTGACACCTAGTGACTAAACGTGATCCTGCAGTTTCAGCATCTCCCCAGGTGCATGAGCCTTTCCCCTGGTCACTTCCTGGCCCCGTGCGGTGCTGCTACCGCTACCTTCAGGACACCACCGCACTGCGCGCCTGCTCTCCTCACTCCAGCCTGCTTCTCCGCCTCTTTCAGAGCTGAAGGAATTATCCCAGTGCGGAGCGGACAAGAAGAGCTTTTTCCAGGGCCAGCCAGGGATCCCAGGAATGCCGGGCATGCCGGGGACAAACGGCCTCCCCGGGGCTAAAGGAGATCCAGGCCCTCAAGGGCCCCCAGGTGAGAGGATGCTGTCAGGACTCGGCAATCACAGCCTCGATATAAAGCAGGCCAGACAGACATCCGTACCCAGGCAAGACAAAGGGACGGGCAGACTCCATGTGAATGCTCGGCACTAATGCACCCGACAGGCATGGCACGCGCTCACAGAGTCTTTGGAGCAGGTTGCCAAGGAGGAGAATGGAGAGCAGGAGATCAGCTCATGGGAGGCAAGCAGGACACTGCTTTGAGGAAGCTCACAGCCCTAGCCCTCTGCACCAGAACAGAGAGCTCCTCAGGGAGGCACACTGGGGAGTGGGAGCGGCTGGACTGAGGAGCCTATCAGGCCTGGCCAGAGAAAGCAGCTTTTAGATTCGGGTTATGGTTCGGCGTGGGCAGGGAACGCTTCAGACAGGTTGGCAGAATCCAGGTTTGAGTTCTGCAGGGCCGTCTGCGCTCTCAGGCTTGTGTTCCTATTAACACTGATCATGTGGATTACAATAGGTCAGAGCCAGGAGGGGGCTGGGGGCTGTCCAGACAGTCCCTGCCCCCAAGGGCTTACACTGTGACTGGACCAGAGAGGCAGTGGGGACAGGATAATGCGCAGCAGAAATGTCAAAGGGCTGGCGAGGAGTCTGTGCCCAGCAGATCTTGGCTAGTCGTCTCTGCCACTAAAACACTGGCACAACATCCCTTCCGTGAGCGAGTGAACCACGTACACAGAGACTAGCCGGCACCTTGGCCTGCCCAATCCTTGACCTCTGCTATTTTTTCTAGCACGGACACCCCTGTCCACCAGGAACTGGACTGAGCCGCTCATTCATTTCACCCGAGCCAATAAATGGTACCCACCGGGGCTGGATTTGAACCCATGACCTAGAAGCAAAAGGCTCTGTGTCCCCTTAGAAATCCCCATCCAGTCTGCTCCCCACCCCCAGCTCCCCGGCCGCATCGCCTGGCTCTTATAGGCTGTTGTCAGGTAGTGCTAAAGGCACAATAAAGGGAACCCGGTCCATGCCTCTGCTCTCTTTCTTCAGGCGAGAAGGGCTCCCCTGGGGCAATGGGGAAGGCTGGACCCAAAGGAGACAAAGGTAACTTCGATGGGACTCTTTGGGGGAGGACGGGATGCAGGACTGGGCCTCTCGGGAAGCCTCACCGCTCTATCCCCCAGCTGCACCCTGTGAACTCTCTTGCCATGTCTGGACTCTTGCCTGCAAACTGGTCTGAGGGCTGCATTCCCAGAGCTAATCGCCTGCCCCGCCTCTGCTCTGGAGAAGAGACATTGTCACTACCCTGCACGGGGAGAAGGACTTAGCGGCTGGGGGTGAAAGCCTGGCCTCACAGAGATCCACACTGCTGCCAGCACCCCCTGCAAGGCCCTTTCACCACCCTGAGGTGACATTTGAGAGCCACCCTTCTCCAGAGCATGCGGCAACCTTGCCCTCCCCTCACTGCCCAGCTGTCGCATGTCCCGTCTTACCAATGGCTGTCTCTCTCTTCCCTCAGGAGAAGCCAGCAGTTCTGCCAGCTCTCAGCAGCAAGGTACACGCCTTCCTCAGCCTCAAACCCTACCCTCGCGCACCAACACAGCTGCGAACACACAGATGCCACAGGCCGTCCATGGGGATCGAACCTGGGACCTCCCACACCAAAAGCACAGGCTGCTACCACCCCAGCTAAGGGAGTAACTCCATTAGCTGCAATTTAATAGCATGAAGTAAAGCCACCGAGTGAGAGTCCGGCCTCCCCCAAACAATGTCCCAAGGCCCCACCAAACACAACTGCCCCATCTACGCCCATTTTCTTTCCTTTTCTCTAGCATCAGTTTACTCCTCCAGAGACCCAGGGCACCATCAAACCCCAGTTAAGGCCCCTCAAATGCATCTACCATCAGCTCCAGCATGAAACAGCCGGGTAGCCGCTAGTTCATTCCTCACCACCTGCAGTTCTGATTTCACCCTCAGGTGATTATTCAGTCCAGCTGGAGAGACCCCTCCCAGCTACTGTATATCCCAGCCCTGCACAGCCAGGGACCAGCTCCGAGTTACAGCTAGGCGACTGCCTTTTCTGTGAAAAATGCAGCTTCCGGGACACCAATGTTTCCAGAATTGTTGTTGCTTTTGCCAAATTGTTTCAGTCAAAATCAAAAACACACCCCCCCCACACACACACACACACATATACCCCACATGTCATCTTGACCCTTTCTAAATGAACGCTTGGATTTTTCGGTTCACGCCGCCGTTTTTGTTTCCAGATTTCCTTTCATTTTATTCAGAACAGCCAAACGTTTCCAAATGGTCAAACTCTAAACACGGGACCAACACAGCCTCAGCAACGCGGCAGCAAATCCAAACAAACCTTCTGTTCGACCCAAACCGAACATTTCTTTGCCTTTTCGATTTGCCAAAAAGTTTCTGACATTTTTCATTGTCAGCCAGTGTACAGAAAAATTAGTTGCCCCGTACTGAGAGTCCCTGACTGGGGTGTGTTTATCAGTCAGCCAGAAGATGGCTGTGAAAGCCAATGTCACTCATTCTGCCCGCTGCTCAGGGGTAGGCAGAAGGCACTACATAAGATCCTTCAGTGGAGAGAGACAGCTGTTTGCTGTTCACTGAGATCTGAAGGAGGGACATTGGACTCACTAGGAGATCCCCCCACAGCTCCAGCGGCAGGATTGGGTCCTGCCCAGCTCCCCGGGTCATCCAAGACAGAGTGGCTGGTGCTCTGGGACCCCCATCCCCATCCCAACCCCTGTGTTGGATTGAACATTGCTAACTGCCTTGGCCATAATGAACTCACCCAGCTGGTGTTCCCCCCGAGGAGCAGGTGCCAGGAACTGCAAGGAGCTACTGGAGCAGGGAGAGGGGCTGAGCGGCTGGTACATCATCCACCCCGAACCGGGGAGAACGCTGACCGTCTTCTGTGACATGGAAACGGATGGCGGGGGCTGGCTGGTGAGTCCTTCTAGCCCTCAAGGAGGCCAGGGAGCAGGGGAGGCAGGAGGAAATACACCTCCCCACAAATGCCTCCACCTACTTGGTGTTACCCCCCCCCATTGCACGGAGTGGGTCTGTGGCCCCTCTCGTGGCCAGTCCACATACCAGGTTGAAGTTTCTGCTGCAGGTCCCGGTTAAGGGAGATGTTCAGAAGAGCTGGTCTCTCATGCAGGCACCAGGTAGCCGGTCTTGCCAAAGAGCTCAGCACCTTGTCCCCACCAGAGCCCAGGCCATGTTCTTTATAACATCCTCCCGCTGTTTGTGGCGCAGGAGGGGCTCTCCAGACAGAACAAGGGAGGGCCTTTTCTCTCTCTTTCCCTTGCCAGGGAGGGGAATCCGAGAGCCTGTCTCTTCAGCAGTCTTTCTGCAGCCAGCCCTTTGGGGCTTGGCTTATCAGCTGTCTTTAGTTAGGGTCTCATTCCAGCCTGGGGCACTGGTCCATGCAACTGCAGGGGCAGTGAGGCCAGAGGCTGTCTCCCGCTTGGCTGATCTGTCTGCGTGGTCAGCGCTCTCGGGGGCATAGCAGTCCTCGCCCTGTTCACCGCCCCTTCCAGGGCCTGTTTTCCCTGTCTAAGCTCCCACCCGCCCCCTCCAGGCAGAGCAAACCTTACAGATGTGCCTCGTTAAGAGCTGAACCAGCCCAGGAGAGCTCATTAATCTCCTCTCCTCCAGAGCAAGGCTGTGCTCCCTGGCCCCCGTCCCAGCTACTCAGTGCTTTGAAACTCTGGCTGCCAGCGATGCTATAGGAGCCGCTGGGTGCTAGTCCTTTGCCTCCAGCCACGGAGCCCTGTGCCTGTAGTGAGGGAGGTCTAGGGGCCAAACCCTGCTGGTGCCCCTTGGCGGTAGGCACCACATAAGATCCTGCAGTGTGGAGACAGCTATTTGCTGTTCATTGAGATCTGAAGGATGGACATTGGGCTCACTGGGAGATTTCGCCCCCTCCCCCCGCAGTTTCAGCGGCAGGATTGGGTCCTGCCCAGCTCCCCGGGGCTCGCTGAGTTTGGGCGTGACCTACCCCTTGCCTTCCAGGTGTTCCAGCGGCGCCAGGATGGGTCGGTGGATTTCTATCGGGGCTGGGAGGCCTACAAAAGAGGGTTTGGAAACCAAGCATCGGAGTTCTGGCTGGGCAACGACAACATCCACCTTCTCACCAGCACCGGTAAGGAGACTTCTCGCCACCCAGCTGAGAAGGGAGCAGTCACAGGGAGAGAGCAGGGGAAGGCTGGACTGAGGCGTAAAATCACTGACATTAACAGAGCTACCCCAGATCTACCCAAGCATAGTAGGGATCAGGATCTGGGTGTGCCCCTCCTCCTGGGACAGGCCGCTACCAAATCTCCCTCTGGAAAGAAGAGAAGGCCAGGCTGGAGCAGCTTGTCTGCCCCAGAGTTTAAAGGGCCCGCTAGCCACAAAGGAAGGGGGGGAGGGGTTCTAAAAAGGG